ACTGATGCAGTTATACCCATCGAGGTTGGGGAACCTAGCTTGAGATACTCCAACGAGAGCGGACCAAGAAACGATGAAAGTAGGCTACAAAATCTGGATGAAGTCGAAGAACGAAGAGACATGGCCCACATAAGAATGGTAGCTCAGAAGCAACAAGTAAAAAGATACTACATCAAGAGAGCTAAGGTGCGACCACTCAAAGTCGGCGACTATGTCCTCAAGGCCAAAACACAAGCATCAAAAGGCCCTAATGAAGGAAAATTGGGAACAAACTTGGACGGACCATACAAAATCATAGCAGTAGTAGAAAAAGGAGCGTTCCAACTAGAAACAATGGAGGGAAAACTACTCTAAAACAACTGGAACTTCACCCATCTCAAGCACTTCCACTTTTAAGAGAAGGCGTCACCTAAGTTGTACTCTTTTTCATTCATCTAGGTTTTGTCCCAATCGGGTTTTCCCGGGGAGGGTTTTAACGATGCGGCAAGGGGGACGCCTCAAGGGTTGACGTGTTGTTCATTACATCGACCCGTCGATATGATCCCGGAGACGAAGTAATGAAGGGAATGCATATAGATAATCAAATCCCCATTGTATGTACGAAATCAAATCCCATTGTATGTACGAAATCAAATCTCCATTGTATGTGTAGAACCAGATCTCCATTAGTCGACATGTGACGTCTTTCTACGGGAATACGATCAAATCCCCAAAAAGTACAAGTTTGACCTCGTTCGAATTACGACGGGATTCTACTTCGATGACAGTTCAAAGCAACATCCCAATGACCAAGGCCATCGACGATTATATAAGTTCGACCTCATTCGAACTAGGATGGGATTCTACTTCGACGACAGTTCGAAGCAACATCCCAATGGACAAGGCCATCGACGATAATATAAGTTCGACCTCATTCGAATTAAGATGATATTCCACTTCGACGATAGTTCGAAGCAACATCCCAATAGCTAAGGCCATCGACGATAATATAAGTTCAACCTCATTCGAACTGCGGCGGGATTCTACTTCAACGATAGTTCAAAGAAACATCCCAATAGCCAAGGACATCGACAATAATATAAGTTCGACCTCGTTCGAACTACAACGGGATTCTACTTCGACGATAGTTTGAAGCAACATCCCAATGGCTAAGGACATCGACGATAATATAAGTTCGACCTCATTCGAATTACGACGGGATTCTACTTCGACAACAGTTCGAAGCAACATCCCAATGGCCAAGGCCATTAACGATAATATAAGTTCGACCTCGTTCGAACTACGATGGGATTCTACTTCGATGACAGTTCAAAGCAACATCCCAATGGCCAAGGCCATCGACGATAATATAAGTTCGACCTCGTTCGAACTCTGACGGGATACTATTTCGATGACAGTTTGAAGCAACATCCCAATGGCCAAGGCCATCGACGATAATATAAGTTCGACCTCATTTGAACTGCGGTGGGATTCTACTTCGACGACAGTTCGAAGCAACATCCTAATGGACAAGGCCATCGACGAAAATAAAGGCTCGACCTCGTTCGAACTACAACGGGATTCCACTTCAACAATAGTTTGAAGCGATATCCCAATAGCCAAGGGCGTCAACAATACCATGGGTTTGATAAAAGCAAAAAGGAACAAGGTGACAAAGTAAATTTTACATTATAGCAAAATATTATTTACACTTATAAACGGGCTCAAGTACGCCCTGTGCAAAAACCCCTGAACAAAAACAAGTACAAAAAAAGAGAGAGACTACACATCGTCCCCAGCGGGGTAAGCATCTTCATACCACGAATCTGAAGCAAGGCGGTTTGCATCATCAGAGTTGATGTCATCCCCGTCAGGTGTGAGGGGGTCGTACCCGCATGCCTCACGAGCTTCGGTGTGCACAGCTTGAACCTCTGCCTCAGTGGCCCTCCCTTCGGCATGAAAAGCCTTATACACATCAAGCCGGGCTTCCGCATGGACCCACAACGCATACAAACGGCGGGGCACGACCGGATCGGCTGAGGTACGAGACGTAGAAGGCTGAGAATATCGAATCTCCTCCTCCGCCCTCAGCGAGGCCATTTGTCCATTCAGTGCAGCCAACTTCGCCTCCAGCTCTTTAAAGCACGCAAGGTGATACCGTGTATTATTTTGGTGAGAGAGTGTTAAAGCACGAAGGGTGATGTCGTGCACTTGTCTTCGATTTCCTGATTTTTACTGATAACTGAGTTACGGTTTCTCTACATTTAATTACTGGTTTCTTGTTGATACATGTTGTACCCCGCAGCATGATTCCCCCTCCCCCCTTCCTATTTTCAATTGAACCGTGGTGATCCTCATATTTATTTGTTGTTTTTCTGTTATTATTCGATGTCCCCGCAGCATGTTACCCCCTCCCATACTTAACTATACATTACCGTTCTTCTTTTCCGATGTATATGATTTAACTGTACATGTTTATTTGGTAGTCTGGTCCTAGCCTCGTCACTACTTCGCCGAGGTTAGGCTACGCACTTACCAGCACATGGGGTCGGTTGTGCTGATACTACACTCTGCACTCTTTTATGCAGATCCCAGTGTTGTAGACTTCGGACCGCGGTAAGATTGTTGTTTCTTGTTCATCAGGCGACCCGAGGTAGTCCTACAGGCATCCGCAGGCCTTGGCATCTCCTTCTATCTATTATTCCTGTTTCTTTCATGTATTTCCAGGGACATTGTTGTATTTATTTCTTTCATACCTTTATTTGTAGTACTCTTAGACAGTTTGTGAAATTGTGACACCAGTCTTGGGTAGATTTGTTATGGATTGGTATTAGCAGTATTATCAAATCTTTACAATGCAGTCTTTCGCTTATTCAATTATGTTGTTATCAAATTGTTAGCTCTAAACTGTTATCGGATTAAAAATGGAAATACGGTAAGTAGTTCAGTTGGTTGGCTTGCCTAGCCTTCAGTAATAGGCATCACCACGATTCCCGAGAGTGTAAAATCCGGATCGTGACATTACATAAAGATAGAGAGAAAAAAAATGGATTCTGTATCGAGGAGATGAGAAGTAATGAAGTTCTACAATGAGGTCTATATGGATATTTACTTTTGTTTTCATTATCTCTATATTAAGTTTTCCTTTTTTTTGAACGAATTTTATGTTTATTGATAAATAATATTTATATAATTAAGCCACTGAAAATTTATTACACTAAATAAGAACTGATAACCTAGAAAATTATTACTATCGGTCTAAATTTTAATTGTTTTACTAAATTTGAATTTGTTTTAATCTTATTTGAGTGGAATGTTTAAGGAGAGATATTAAAATGTTTAAACAAATACTCATATGATTAAACTTTAGTTAGTTATAATTATTCCGTGTACATAAGTATTTACGAGAATTCTTGTGTAGTTATTAAAGGAAGTTCAAAAGTTCCTCTAGGTCATAATTCAAATGCTAAATGTTTATGAATCTCCTTAGAGGCTATTTGGAAAGCCACATGGGAATTGAATTTGCGTTTAATTGGATATAATTACACGGTTTGACATATTTATTTGACCAATTAATTATTTGGTCAATATGGAATTGAGTGTAATTTACTCTCTCTAATTTTTAAGGAGATATGAGAATTGATGGTAATTACACTGTATAAATACAAAGTTACTTTTAAATTTCTTTCTTTTTCTATTTTAATTTATTTTTTATAATTGTTTATTTCCATTATTTTTTATTTCTTATTTTATTTTTACTTTTTAATTTTAAAATATATTTTTCTTTTACATTATTTATCTTTTTTTATCTACCTTTACTTCTTGTGAATCCATGTAATTACTCATATATTTTATTTTCTTCATTTAGTGTAACCGTATTATTATTCTAATTTTTGAAACTACACCTCCTAATACTAGAAATAATGAGTCATTAACAAGCATGGCATATAATGGTGATGTCATCAAAGTAGAATTCCATTGTTGAATGAGGCTATAAACTTATTATGTTACCTATTCTTAAGTCGTATTGGAACTTATATTTATTATGTTGGAATTTGACATATGTTAAAACTTTTGGATTTTGAAATTATGTTATATTTATGGTTCCAATTTACTTGTTTAGCAGTATTTACTTATTATTTCACATTGTATGTTATTAATTTTTTAGTTAGAATTGATAGATTAGTTTTGTCAAATATTTGAATAATGTTATGACATTATATTTATAAATGCTAGTCTAAGGATACGCGCGTTGCTCGTGTATTCTTATCCAAATGAATACAATTTTTTTAAAAATTATATTAAATTTCTGATTGAATCATGAAATATATGTCAAGAAGAAACTTAGATTCTTGATTGTATTTTGCTAACTCATTAAAAGAAGAAACTTTGTCCGACATGGTTTCTTAGTCATCTCAGTCAATATATTTAACATAAAATTTATTTAAGATTTATACTTTTATTGCTTTAATTTTACAAGTTACGCATCCTTTTTAGTTTTAACTAATTCATATAGCTTTAAGATTTAGAATTATTGCAATTAGTGTTTGACCAAGCTTTTTAAAAATGCTTCTAAATATATTTTTCTCAAAAGTGTTTCAAAAAATTGCTTTCGAAGAGAAACTATTTTTTTCCGCTTCTCCAAAATTACTTTTGACTCTACTCAAAAGTACTTTATTTTCTTCAAAAAGCTTGACCAAACACTTCAATACTTTTGGTTTTGGAAAAACTCGGGTAATAGTGAAAAAAAGGAAAAGTGTATTTCCAGGTATGATTCTACTTTGGCCAGTCAGCTGTTAGCCAAGCTGGAGCCGAATCAAACGGTGTACGGGCCAAAAGGTCTAAAGTCCTCCTAATAACATAACATGGAGATGCAGATCCATCTGCCCCATAATGACACGTTCCCTAGCTTTTAGGTTTGACAAGTCAATATATACAAAATTTGCCTATTACGTGACAGTTACTCCACTGCTTTCGCACTTGTTTGTGTGTGCCATGAAAAAACAAAACAAACCATAAAAAGTGGCTGTGCTGCAACTACGTTCATATATGGAAAGTTTGCAAATTCATCCCTAGTTTCCATCTTTATATAAACTGAAAGAGAAGTAAAAAAAAGAGAGAGTTCATTCGTTAGGGTTTGTATTGTAACACAATGAGTGGGTACAGTTTCTTTCAGAGAGCCTCCAGAGCTTTCAATGACTACCCTCATCTCCCTAAAGTTCTTGTTCTTTTCACTGTTAGGTCTGTCAACTTTTGCATTCACCGTTTTTTCTTTATTACACTATTGTTTTGCTGTTCTGTATGTTTCTTGCTTAGAACTCGGGTGATGTAAAGTCTATACTTTGATAATTCTGTTTATTAACATGCGCAACAGTACTGTTTTAGCCAGCTTGTTTTAGTTTCACCATCTATGATTTCTTCCTCATTTTAGCATTTGCTTGTTAGTCGTTTTTATTTTTGTCTTGTTTGTCTGGTTTTTGTTCAGTTTTTCTTCTTTTTTATTTCAAAATAAAAATTTGGTGGTATGTGCTTTGTCTAATATCATAGGCGGATTTGAACTTTATGAGTTCGAGTTTGAATTGTACCACAACTCGATTGGAGCTCAAAATCTATTATTTGTATAAAATTAGTAGATTTTTTAATGAATATATAGGTCTGAGCCAAAGTTACGTACCCGAAACCATAACATACTAAATCCCCTCTGTTGAATTTGTCCGTCAGCCTTTTGACTGGATGTCAGGAACTGTTCTAGACCGATGCCAATGGATATAGGATTTCCAGATTTGTTATGGTCTAATTAAGTTAAATTTTTTGCTAGTCAGAGAGCTTACATATGTAATCTGCATTTGCTACGTCTGGCTGTCATCAATGTTATTTTTTATTTATATTTGCAACCATTTTCCATTCTCGTTCCATATAGAGGAATTTGATCTGATTCTGCAATGTGTATGGTTTATTTTAGCCTGATAATTCATAATTTCAAAACTAAAACTAGAGAAAACTAGTGCGTGTATTAAAATAGCTTGAAATTAATGCACATTTGCTCTCGTCATCCAAGTGATGTAGTGCCACTTAAAGTTAATAATTTGGGTAGGTAAGACTCTGCATCTTGGGACGTGAAAAGAAAATTCTAAATTCTAATTCTGTTTTTCCAAAGATAAACCTACATTCATATATAATGAATTGCAACTTTTTATTTGAAGGTCTTTTTTTCTTTTCGTGTAAATTAAATTTGCCTGCAATTTTTTCATATGGGAATGAAGACCGTGTAGAGTGAAATACATGGATAATCCATGTCGATCGCTGACTCTGATTAATTCATTTGATTTGCTTTGGACTTGCAGTGGTGGAGGACTAGGTGCAGTATGTCATACTGCATATGCTGATGCAGGTCAAAATGATGCTAAGAAGAAGAAAGTAGTAGTGCTTGGAACAGGCTGGGCCGGAACAAGTTTCCTTAAGAATTTGAAAGACCCTTCGTATTCTGTTCAGGTCGTGTCTCCTCGCAACTATTTTGCCTTCACTCCTCTGTTACCTAGTGTCACCTGTGGCACAGTTGAAGCAAGAAGCATTGTAGAACCAATTCGCAATATTGTCAAAAAGGTATATATACGTATCCATCATCTTTTTTGCATATTCAAAATTCTGGAGTTTTAAGTATTTGTAATACAATAAGCTTGTATGTGTGTACAGAAAAAGTTTGATGCTGATTTCAAGGAAGCTGAATGTTACAAGATTGACACAGTAAACAAGAAAGTTCACTGTAAAACAACCCAACAAAGTCATTTCGGAGGTGGCACAGAAGAGTTTACCGTAGATTATGACTATCTGGTGATCGCTATGGGAGCTCGAGCAAATACTTTCAACACCCCTGGTGTTGTAGAGAATGCACACTTTCTGAAGGTAGCTGTCTTTACTGAATTAATGAGCCAATGAATTGAAGTATTTGAAGGGCGAGCAATGATATTTTTTTGCAGGAAGTAGAAGATGCTCAAAGAATTCGTAGGAATGTGATAGATTGTTTTGAGAGGGCAAGCATTCCCAGCATAAGTGAAGAGGAGAGAAGGAGAATTCTTCACTTTGTGGTTGTTGGAGGTGGTCCAGCGGGCGTGGAGTTTGCTGCTGAGCTTCATGATTTTGTGAAAGAGGATCTCGCCAAGTTGTATCCTTCCCTTAAACAGTACGCGAGGATAACACTCCTTGAGGCTGGGGATCATATACTTAACATGTACAACAACATTCTCCACCCTACTACATTATACTAGCTTGTAACTTGTTTGCTTCCTCAGAGATTATTGTTGGCTTTCACTTTTTCAGGTTTGACAAAAGAATTACAGCTTTTGCTGAGGAAAAATTTGCGAGAGATGGTATTCAGCTGAAAACTGGGTCAATGGTGGTGAAAGTAAGTGATCGCGAAATATCAACCAAAGAGAGAAGCACTGGCCAAACTGTTACTATACCATATGGAATGTGTGTCTGGTCTACTGGTATTGGAACTCGCCCTGTCATTATGGATTTCATGAAGCAAATTGGTCAGGTATGTTCACTTTATTATTACTGCATCAGTGCGTCCTTAATGTGATTAGTGCCAATCTGTTTTTGTTGGTTCAAAAGATGAACTTCTGTTTGTTGATGGCATGCAGACAAATAGGAGAGTCTTAGCAACGGATGAATGGCTCCGAGTTGAAGGGTGCAGTGATATTTATGCTCTAGGTGATTGTGCCACAATAAACCAACGCAAAGTCATGGTACACTTAATCAATCTAGATTGATTTCTTATACTAAGTTTGAGTAATCAAATAGTTTCTTGGAATCTGAAGAGGCTTCAACTTGTATAATGGTCTTTTCTACTTCTAATCCCTGATTGAGTAACTGAAGTAGTACAACTTTTCCCATTTACTAATTCTAAATATACTAATAGTCTGTTTGGCCCAGCTTCTCCAAAGTCAAAACCATCTTTTGTTAAAAAAATGTTTTTTTTTTCAAAGTTGAAATGTTTGGCCAAACTTTTACAAGGAAAAAAAAGTGCTTTATCTCGAAGCAGAAGCAGAAAAAAATAGCTTCTCCTAGAAAATACTTTTTTGAAAAGCAATTTTGAGAAAAATATACTTAGAAGCAGTTTTTAAAAGCTTGGTCAACCACTAATTGTTGTTCAGAAATGCTTTTCAAATTAATTATTCAAACACAAATTGCTTCTTACCAAAAATATTTTTGAGAAAAGCACTTCTCAAAATAAGTTGATTTTTGCGCCAACTAAAGTATACTTCTCCATTCCCCTCACTCTCCCTCATATTGGTACAACTTTGAAATTCAAGATCAGGAATTGAACAATATCTTGCTCATACTTCATGTTTTTGTTTCATTTTTTTTTTTGTTTATACTTCTTTTCATTTTAGTTTTTATGGTTTCTAAAAAGCTTGCTGACACAATTAAAACGGATGTGGATGATTTTCCTTTATATTTATACAAGTTGAGGAACTAAGTTGAGTTCTTTTAAATATCTAGAATTTCAATTTACATTACAGGAAGATATTGGAATCGTTCTTTTAAATATCTAGAATTTCAATTTACATTACAGGAAGATATTGGAATCGTTCTTTTAAATATCTAGAATTTCAATTTACATTACAGGAAGATATTGGAATCATATTTAGCAAGGCAGACAAGGATAATTCTGGAACCCTGAGAGCAGAAGATTTTAAAGAAGTGATCCATGACATATGTGAGAGGTATCCTCAAGTGGATCTTTATCTGAAGAAAAGGCAGCTGAACAACTTTAATGCTTTACTAAAGAGTTCAGAAGAAGATGCTGAAATTAACATTGAAAAGTTCAAGTCACTACTTGCTGAAGTAGACTCCCAGATGAAAAATCTTCCTGCTACAGCACAGGCAAATATATAGATCATCAATTTATCTTGGTATATATGCTTCTATAATTCCTCATCTCATGCTTTTGTTGCTATTTTCTACACTAGGTTGCTGCTCAACAAGGTAGTTACCTTGCTAACTGTTTCAATCGCATGGAAATATGTGAAGCTAATCCAGAAGGACCACTAAGATTCCGAGGAACGGGCCGCCATCGCTTCCATCCTTTTAGGTAGCATGAAATCACTACTTACTTTCCACCATCAACTCTAACTACTTAAGTAATCATCTCTAGCAAGATTACATGGGGATGATTACAGAAACATGAACCTCTTGATTATGAAGAAAATGGACATGCATATTCTAGGGAATCATATGAACCACTCTTGCTTAGAGTTGACAACTTAGTGTTTCACTCTTACCTTTTCTGATCTTATGTGCTTTAATATTTGTTGGTTTATCCCTTCTTTTCCCCTCTCTTACAGGTATAGGCATTTGGGGCAGTTTGCACCATTGGGTGGGGAACAGACTGCAGCTCAACTCCCTGGAGACTGGGTTTCAATAGGTCACAGTACCCAGTGGCTCTGGTATTCAGTATATGCTAGGTAAGAAGTCTGTCACATTACAAAAAAATACTTTTACTCGCACCTAAACAATATATATGTTTTACAGTTACAAATTAATATGTGCTTTGTTTCAAATTTCAGCAAGCTAGTCAGCTGGCGTACAAGGGTGCTAGTGGTATCTGATTGGATAAGGCGTTTCACATTTGGGAGGGACTCTAGCAGAATCTGAAACAGCATCAAGACTTTTCGACTTTACCACAACTTTAATTTGTTGTTCTTTACTTACTGTAATTGAGCACTTCTACTAGCATAATTGAGAAATTTTGTTTGGATTATATTTCCTGAAACAATTTCCTGGTTCCAAGTAATATTCATCAATATTCTTTAGCTTTTTACTAGTCTCTTTGGCATTTATCAAGGGTATATTATTAGACACATACTTTTTCATTATATAAATGGAATTTCACATGTCTGCAAGAATTTTTGCACTTTACTCATTAAGCATTTGAGAGATTTTCCTCTAAAATAAATTGCATCAAGTAATTGCTAAACGCTTAAGCCTTAAAATGAATCATGAGAATAAATGGTTCACCAATGAGATACAGAACAAAGAGGGTGAGATTATTTCATACAAGGGTCAGGATGAGACACATTAAACAATTTTTAAATCTCTGTTTCTTCTGCAAAATGTTTCATGCTTCATGCAGCGTAGAATCCCTTTTTCACCATTTACAATTTGCACTGAACTACTAATGAAGGAGGTTACAACATCCAAAAAGATGTAATTTGATATTTACACCACCAATCTTCAACTAGAAGTATTTTTCTCTCTCAGATGGAATAGGGGCATAGTAAGAACCAACAGAAGAAAGAAAGCACCTCAAAAAATTGGTGAATATCCATCTCCCTAGAGATAAGGTGTGTAGTCGAATCAGAGATCCATCACCAAACGTGGGCAACCCAGCCTATGATGGACCAGATGGCTCGTCTTCAAATTTTACTGGCCTGTAACCAAAAGAAAATATTCTTTAACTTAAAGACGCAAAGCAAGAACTCAAAATGAGAGTTTGCGCCTATAATAACAGTACTCATATACTATGAACATTATATTATATTCTATGAAATACATACCACAACAGATCCATTCTTGTTGAAGATAGCAGCAGCAACAACATGGAGCAAACTGATGCTCGTTATCAACATTACTCAACCGGTATCCACTATTACTTTTGAACTGCAAAACTATTTGTTTTTCCGTTGAATATGGTTTGGTCCATGATGGTTTGAGACTGATTCCTTCATCTCATTTGAAAAAGCAACAGCCAACTCCAACTTCCCCATCTTCTTTAAATTACTGATCAGTGATCTGTAAACATGAATTGATGGGCGGAATCCCCTGAGCTTCAACTCATTAAAAAATCTCAGTGATTCCTCAATATTACCACATTTTCCAAAGCTGTCAATCAAAGCATTATAAGTCCGCAAATCTGGTTTAATTCCTCTCTCACACATCTCCTTGAAAAATACTAAGCATGACTCAAGCCTGCCTACCTTCCGCAGTCCAGTAATTACGGTGTTATAAGAAACAATATCAGGAATTAGACTATCCTCTTTCATGGCCACAAACTCTTTAAGCATTTCATCTGTTCTACCACACCGGCCTAATATTCCCAAAATGGTGTTATATGTAACCACATCAGGTTTAGATTTCAAACTCTTCATTTGATCAAAGATCAGCAAGGCCTTATCAATCTGTCCACATTCGGCAAAGGAAAAGATGATCCTATTCATAACTGTAGCAGTACTTGGAAAAATCAACTCGGAAATCTCCCGGACAAAGCTTAGTAAGCAGGCAACATCATTTTCCCTGATAAAAGCCTGAGCAAAGATAAGATATGTAGATGAATTCAGAGATTTGCAAGATACTAACAGATCCTTGAAACTCTGACATAGAAGGCCAATATCATTTTCCTCGCCTGCAGCTTTAAAAAAGCGATTGTATGCAATAGGGGGAAGGAGGATATTTTTATCATGCAACGTCTGCAATAGCTTAGTGGCTGCTGATAGATTTCTGTCATTGCAAAACTTATCAATGTAAGCAGCACAGAGTTCCTCTCCTGAACTTTGAGAATTAGCCATAACCGAGAGGACTTCCGTCAACACTTCATCAACAAATTCAGCAGGGGATGCTTGGGTTGAGATCGATTGGAAGCTGCCGGAAAAGATACTAGGAATAAAAGACGGCCAATTGAAGAGGACTCCAACTGGGATGGATTCAATACAATTCTGTATTAGAAATTAGCAGTAAATCACAAGATTAAAATACAAAAACCATGTAGGTTACTAATAAAAACAGCTAAAGCAAGTGCCTCAAGATAGAGGAATGTAAGAGGGAAATGAAGCCTGGTTCAGAACATCTTATCCATTCAATGCAATAAAGCTGTTCGTAACAAAGACTAGAGTAAAAAACTTACAATCTCATAATTTAGTGTAGCATAAAGAGTTTCCAGTTATTACGGGGTTGCACCAAGGGTCTGCGCTCAGCCCATTCCTATTTGCCCTGGTGATGGATGCACTGACTCATCATATTCAAGGGGAGGTGCCATGGTGCATGCTATTTGCTGATGACATTATTCTAATTGACGAGACACGAGGCGGCGTCAACGAGAGGCTAGAGATTTGGAGACATGCTCTTGAGTCTAAAGGTTTCAAGTTGAGCAGGACGAAGACGGAATACCTCGAGTGCAAATTTGGAGTTGAGCCGACGGAAGCGGGAGTTGAAGTGAGGCTTGACTCTCAAGTCATTCCCAAGAGGGGTAGTTTCAAGTACCTTGGATCGGTTATTCAGGGGATCGGGGAGATTGACGAGGATGTCACACACCGTATAGGGGTGGGGTGGATGAAGTGGAGGTTAGCGTCGGGAGTCTTGTGTGACAAGAAAGTGTCACCATTACTAAAAGGTAAGTTTTATAGAGCAGTGGTTAGGCCTGCCATGTTATATGGAACTGAATGTTGGCCGGTAAAGAACTCACACATCCAGAAGATGAAAGTAGCAGAGATGAGGATGTTGAGGTGGATGTGCGGGCATACAAGGATGGATAAGATTAGGAATGAAGATATTCGAGAGAAGGTGGGTGTGGCCCCCATGGAGGACAAGATGCGGGAAGTAAGACTCAGATGGTTCGGGCACATTCAGAGGAGGAGCACTGATGCACCGGTGAGGAGGTGTGAGCGACTGGCTGTAGTGGGCATGCGGAGAGGTAGAGGACGACCTAAGAAGTATTGGGGAGAAGTGATCAGACATGACATGGCGCGACTTAGGATTACTGAGGACATGACCCTTGGCAGGGAATTATGGAGGTCGAGCATTAAGGTTGTAGGTTAGGGGAGGGTTATGAATATTTCTACAACACAATAGAGTGAGACTAGCCAGTTAGGAGTTAGACTGAGAATGTCATTGGTCGTCTATTGATGCAGGGCTTTACCTGCTAGTTTTACTATACCAGTCATCTATTTCGTATTTCGTATTCTGTATTTCATATCTCTTATTATGCTGTTATTTTATTATGCATTTTAATGGTACTAATATATCGGCTCCTGTTGTTTTGTTGAGCCGAGGGTCTCCTGGAAACAGCCTCTCTACCCTTCGGGGTAGGGGTAAAGTCTGCGTACATATTACCCTCCCCAGACCCCACTTGTGGGATTATACTGGGTCGTTGTTGTTGTTGTTGTTGTATAAAGAGTTTCTAATCTCAATATTGTATCCTCTGTGTTAAATGTGAAGGGAGCCTAAACAATCAACCCATAAACTCAAACAGGCCTTCTAAGAACAAAATCATGGCTACAACCAACCCATAAACTCAAACAGGCTTTCTAAGTACAAAATTTATCTGAGTATTCGTGGCTATCATAGTTCAGACTCTGCACAAGATATTTCGTAAGCTATTTCCATGAACTAGATCATAACAGAGCAACTTCACTGTCAAAGCCCAATAACCCCACTTTAATCCACTCCCGTTTCGCTCAACCACCACCCCCAAAACGCCCCACCCAAACAAATCAAGGGAAACAACAAGGAAATGAAAAAACTGAAGAGACAGCAACTTTTACTAAATGACATTTCCATAGATCATATCTCTTATGAAAGATCAAAAGCCGGCTTAGTTGGGCCAGCTCGTCAAAAAGTTCACTTCTTTTGACTGGTTACTATTATGACAATAACTAACTCTTCGCACACAAAAAATCCTTTATCTAACAGCTCTTTTACACATGAATTAGGAAAAAGTTGTCTAAATTAATGAAGCTTCCCATGCCAAGGAAATAAGCAATAGTCTGCTCATCCACCGAGCAAGAAGCATCTAACTGAAAAATCTCCAAAGGGTAAAGACCTTTGCATATCATGTATGTTTCCTTTTTCTAGCCCTAGCTATATAAGAATAAGCATTTAGAGGTAAAGAGGCTTAAAATCCAAAAGAATAAATACTCACGTTAAGAAAGAAATTTCTGCACCGATGTAGTGTGTTGAATGCCCGAATTCCTTTAGCAGAGGAGTGTAACCCAACAGCGACACTATAGTTCAATCGATTGAAACAAGAATGGCATAAGAAAGTTAAAGTGGTCAGCTTTGCTCTGCCATTGAAAGCAGCTGCTACCATCTTTTTCTGCAGAGATTTTAGGGGTTTATGAAACCCGAACTAGGGTTTTAAGCATTGGGTGCGAATTTGTAGATTCGATGTCTGTGCAGGATAAGTTGGGAGAAGGATTTGGTGATGAGCCTAAAACCCCTATTTTCATGCTCTGTGAAGAGCTAATAGAAAAACCCTTCTCGCATTTTCGGGTCGAGACTGAAGTTCTATTTTTTTTTTTTTTTTATAAGTAAAAGTTAATGACCAATGGAAATTGAACCAGCAACCTAATAAAACGTGTCTTGCCTCTTATCGTTCATAACTTCTGGTGACATTGCCAATTGGGATATATAGACAGGGGTGTACAAGGACAAAAAAATGGTTTTAGGATACCATTTATATGACAGTGTTTAGTGACAGAATTAAGATTTAATTTGATTTATGCACAATATTGGTATATCACGAAAAAAATATTAAATCAATAGTTTTTTCAATATTTTTATTACATTGGGGGATGAGCAAAGTGAGAGTGAAAGGGTTAAATTGAACTTGCATCTATTGTATGAAAGACTCCCTCGGTATCATTAGACTATAAGTCACGGTGGTTAATTGTTGAGAGTAGTTGAAAATTTTAATAAGTTTGAATTTCTCTAAAGTTCTGAGCTTGTAAGAATAGAACTGCGGCAAATATTTTTAATGTCCCAAAAAATTGGGAATGAGGAGAGGAGCATAAATATATGTATGTAAGGATATTAGGAAGGTTTAAACACTTC